TAACCCTTTTTTGTTTTGGAAAATTGTTTTAAGAGAAATTTTAAGTTCTAATTTTTACGTTTTACAGAAAGCAGTACTGGCTGCTCAGTTAATGAATGTTAAACGTTTCCTTACAAGGAAAGGGTTAATATTATCATTACTATTCTTAGTAGATTTACCACCTACCCTATTGCCATCTGTTTAGACTGATAGAACATTTAATAAGGAACAGAATATTTGGAAACAAATAAGAAAAAGAAAACAATCTTTAAAACATTTTTCAGTTTTTAGTATCAACGTAATTACATTTGAAAGCGTAGTAATACCGTCAATTTTAAAAAGAAAGAGAAAAAAGAACTAAAACAAAAAGGAGCTATTTTCTTTTCTTTCGCTCGAATAAAATGAAAAATATAAGTAAATAATGAAAAAGAATCAACTTTACAAAGAAAAGTCGACTGAAAAGAAGAAAGAAAATTAAAACGTAATCTTCAATATAATTTATTCTATTCATAGAATATTTTCATGTTCCATGGTGCTGAAAATTTCTCGGCTCGACAAAGAAATTCTTTCATAAAATAAAAAATAAAAAATTTCTTTATTTGGCCAAATTTTGTCGAGTGGTTCTGCCCGAGAACTTTTCATCATTCACACATATAAAAAGAATGTTATATTGAAATAAAAAAAGAAGAAAACGAAAACAAATAATCAAAGGGTGCGTGAGTATGGAAGGAGAAAAACAACCTGAAATGAAACAAGTTCCATGGCGCCTTTACCGTCTTCCAAGAGTGCTGTAGAAGCATGACCTCTGCCCTTCTGTTAAGCGTCATTTCCAGAATAAAAAAACTAAAAAAACTTACTTTCTTTTTTGGGGGCTACTGGCACCATTCAGTTTTTAGGAATATCAAGTCCAGACCACAACTGGACAACGAAAGTTTGATTTCCTTCAGGCAACTGAAAATGAAAGATAGAAAATAAACTGATTTTTAAAAGAAAAAAGATGCTAAAATACAGATTAACTTTCGCAACTTTTGTGATTTTCGAAACTTAAGCACAAAGTACTTGCAAATGATTCTTTTAAATATGAATCCATAAGTGAAGGCGGATTACACTATGTCGTAAAAGATGGGGAAAATATATTTTGAATATAAAATGTTTTCATTATAAAAGTTGAAGGAGATTATTTTTTTCAACTATTTCAGGAAATAACATTCGGACATGTTAATCTAAAATGGTATTATATCTATCTTTAGGGTCTGACTCTGATTTAATTGTGAATAAATTATATATATATATATATATATATATATATGCCTTTATTATACATACAACCCTATCACTTGAAAAGACACCAAAAATGTTGAAACAAAATGGCTATTTTTGTAGTGATTTTATAACATATTTATGTTATAATTTTCGAATAAATAAGTACATATATATATATAATTATAAATAACTAGACTCGTTTCGAAAAACCCTCGAATTTTTGATTTGCTAATAATCAAATCAATCTCGGGAAAAAAGTTTAAAAAAAAAAGAGCTACAAACATGAACTTCTACCGACAAAAAAATCGCACAGATGCAGGTCTGAAGCCCAAAGAAAAAAACCCGGATACGAGTAAACAACTAACTAACAAAAGAGCTCAATACAACCGTAGAGCTGACCTAGATACACCTAGTGAGCCAGACAAACCTACCTAGGTTTCACCTAAACGCATCGTCAGGGAAAGTAAGACTCTCTCTCTCTCTCTCTCTCTCTCTCTCTATATATATATATATATATATATATATATATATATATATATATATATATATATATATACATTTCATTGAATACGATAGACAAGTTGATTTGATTTAGTTTTTTAGACAAATTCTCATGTGATCTTTTTTTTCGCATGATAAATTATATAAAAAACTGTCCAATTGTTATTTATAAGAAATAGATTGTTGTATGTATGTATTTACATAATGCTTTCATTTTCAAAACACGGTCAAGATATTGTGTCCATCTTCATGCTTGATATTATTAATTGTTGTTTTTTTATCAATAAGACTACCATTATTTATTTTTAACTATTTCTTGTTAGCAGCTAATATATTTCAACCTGGAAAATGGCTAAATGTATAGCGGATAGCGCTCGGATATAAATATTTTAGTAAGTGGAGGTCCATTTACATTGACATTGAGCTCTCCCTGAATTAATATAGGTAATTCCCCGACCCAGAAAGCAATACCTAAAGTTTAAATGCATTTAAAAATTAAAAATCTTTCTTGTAGTTTTATATTTTTTAATTCTATAGTTTAATTTTAATATGTCCAATAGGCAAAATAAATTGCTGTATTTCAAATCGAATTTAAATTTATTGGAATTTTATTTTTTTCAAATCGATAACATCGTCTCTTTTGACAAATCTGTTGGTACAGCATAATATTCTTTATTAAAAAATATATTTCTGAAAAAATTATTTGTGGAAGATTAACTGATTTCAAATTTAATTAATCTGAATTAAAACAAATATCACTTACTTTTAGTTTAATATAATCGCAGAAATGCATGTTTTTAAAACGGATGTCGGTGTTTTTACGAGGTGTTGACACATTTATTTACAATCTGACGTTTAAGAAATTTATCTAATGGGGATGTAACTGTTATAAAATTACATAACGAATACAACGTAAATGCTAATATTTTATATTTTTTTGGTTTATAACAACTAGATTTTGCATGATGAAATCGCATCTGTTATTATCTTCGTGGCATTCTATGGCTGGTTCAGAGTGATGTCCAGCCCATTTATCAGCGTGATTTTCATTTCATTGTATGTATTATATTTAAGTCCTCCATTTGTATTTTTAGCCGTAATTATGCGAAGATATGTGAAAGTAACGTGTTGTTTTGTCATAGATTATTACTTTATTTTTGTGTTGGCATTGGTGTGAGATGTAAGTGTTTATTCACGGAAAATAGCGAGTACGTTCCGACTAACATGAAAAATCGCTTTGTAACACGTAGGAACGGACCTTTGTCGTAAGTTGAGGATCAACTGTATACACTTGACTTTCGAATAAACGGAGGGTCTGATGAGTTAAATTTTTGGAAATTAAGACACACCAATGTTTTCTTTTTGAGCCTCTTTAATTAAAATTCCAAAATATTAAAAAATGTATAGCGTCAAAAATGAATGTTTTGTTTTTTTTCTATCTTTGAAGAAAATATTCATTTTTTATTTTAACACTGTTCATGAAAATTTTGAAATTGAAATTCCCCCCACTTAATAGATAACCCGTTATTCATTCGAGAAGAAAGAGTAGGTATTTATAAAGTAATAATTAATTTCCGAGCATATTAATCTGTTGCGGTAGCTCACTAATTCCTGTTGCAGACGGCTGCTCAGCCACTTTTGAGTTTATCTAACACACACACACAAAGCCCACCAGTGGTTTATACTGTAACTATACAGAGCGGGTTTCAATTACAGTTTCTGAGCGATAGCGTATAATCTAAAATAAAGTGCTCAAAACCTCGGACACGTTGACCTGTGACTTCGGACCAACACAACGATCTACGGATTACGGACAACTCAACGCTTACAAGGCTGGGATCAACCCGTGGTATGGTTTTCAGGCATTTTCCAAAGGTACTGCACAATGGACTAACCTTCTCAAGAAATCATCTCTGTAACAAATCGACAGTAGATTAGAACCTGAAATATATATATATATATATATATATATATATATATATATATATATATATATATATATATATATAAATAATTATAATATAAGTAATTATACTCGTCTGGAAAAACTTTAGGTGTTTTAGCTTATCAATGAACAGACCAACACTCAAGGGAAAATCAGGGACAAAAAGAAAGAACTAAGAACATGTAATTGAGGCGAAAACAATCGTCCAGAATCCAAGTTCAGAGTCCAAAGAAAAAAACTCCAAAACGAATAAAGCAAAAGTAACTAAGTAAAGTGCTCAATTGCACTAAGTACAGCAAATCTAACTATAAACCTAAAGAGCCAGGCAAACCTACCTTGGTTATACCTACGTGGATCGTCAGGGTACGCTGACGATCCGCGTACGTGAAACCTAAGTAGGCTCTTTAGGTTCATAGTTATATATATATATATATATATATATATATTGAACAATAAAAAATATTAAAAAATAAAAATATATATATATATATATATATATATATATATATATATATATATATATATATATATATATATATATATATATATATATATATATATATATATATATATATATATATATATTTATTTCTGAGATGAGGTATTATGTGCATTATTTACATTATTCGGACTACTGTCCTCATCTTTGTCGCCATATTTACGACACGTGGCACAGTGGATAAAGGCGTTAGTTAGATCCAGTGACAGGACCTAAAGAGTGTGAGTTCAATACCCGGTTAAGGCAGTGGAGAACTTTCAGATGGAAATTAACAGGAGATAACTGATAACCGACACCCATCAAACATGGCACGCGGAACGAGAACAGTCTAACCCAGTGAGCGAAATAAAGGGTTCAGTTCGACATTCCAACCCCCTGAAGAAGAGCGTACACCGGCCGAAACCTTGTAATAAATATGGCGACAAAGATGAACACAATATTCCGAATAATATATATATATATATATATATATATATATATATATATATATATATATAGAGAGAGAGAGAGAGAGAGAGAAAGTTAGATAACTTGACTCGTTTCGAAAAACCCTCGAATTTTTGATTTGCTAATCAAATTAATCTCGAGGGAAAAAAAGGTTTAAAAAAAAAAACGAAAGAGCTATAAACATGAACTTCTGTCGACAAAAAATCGCACAGATGCAGGTCTGAAGCCCAAAGAAAAAAAACCGATACGAGTAAACAACTAACAAAGCGCTCAATACAATCCTTGGAAACCATGCAACCATTCGTCTACGTTTATAAAGTAGTGATTTAAATACTGTCAAAATCTAGTACCAGAATTAAGGAACGAATGCAGAGTTGGTTAAGCTTTTCCATATTTTCTTTTATACACGTAAGTGAATCTAAAGGATTCGACGGGAAATCGAACTCTGCTCTCCGATTCCTCAATCCGAGTCGCTATCCATTACTCCACCTATACCCTTGGAGAATATATGAATCCTGTTCTTCTACCTCCCCATATCTGGGTGAAGAGAAGAAGCGGGACAGATCGGGTTCTATAGACTTCGATGGCAACTGGTTTACCTCAGAAAGAAATGGCAACCTACTGCGGGAAAAATCTACCTCGTCCGTCATGTATCGAAAGACACATGATTGCCTAAACGTGTATCACGCATGGCACATAATGATGCAGAGAAATAAAATAAATGGTGATAGTAATTAAAATAATTTGAATAATTAAAATAACGTGAAAATTTTGCTTTAAAATATGGGAATTAAACTAGAATATCATCAAGTGAAAATAAAAAAAACTGAAAAATATGGAAAGACAAAAGAAAAGAACGCGCGCTTGGTGGGCGAGGTAGTTTGTCCTGCTCGTCATGCGGATAGTAAGAGTTTCAGCCTAGATTAAAGCCAAGAACTCCAATGCTTATTATCACGGAAAGCAAATTGTATTGTCCAGAAACACTAGAGCAAAACAATCTTTCTGTCAATCTTTCTGTCTTTGTACTTCACATTTACTTGTGCTTTACAAAGTTAAATGTTCTTTCTCTATAGATTTCTTCCAAACTACACTAGATCACTCACCATAGCTTACTGCCTCCAGCTTTCTGTCTCCCGAGATCACTCTCCCTAGCTAGTTATCTCTCCTTGTCTCTGTCTATCTAGTTCTCTCTCTCTCTCTCTCTCTCTTTCTATCTGTATTTCTTTGTCTCTGTCTCTAGATTTCTGAGTCTGTCTATATTTCTGAGATGAGGTATTATGTACATTATTTACATCATTCGGACTATTGTCCCCATTTTTGTCGCCATATTTATCACAACGTTTCGGCCGTTGTACGCTCCGGCCTTCTTCAGGGGGTTGGAATTTCGAACTGAACCCTTTATTTCGCTCACTGGGGTAGACTGTTCTAGTTCCACGTGCCATGTTTGATGGATGTCAGTTACCAGTTATCTCCTGTTAATTTCCCTCTGAACGTTCTCCACTGCCTTAACCGGGTATTGAACTCACACTCTTTGGGTCCTGTCACTGGATCTAACCAACGCCTTTATCCACTGTGCCATGTGTCCTCTAGATTTCTTTCTTTTACTCTCTCTCTCTCTCTCTCTTTCTCTCTCTCTCTCTCTCTACCTGGAATTAAAATAAAGATAACAAAGGTTCCAAAAAGGAAAAGAGAAAAAAAAAGAAATATAAAATCTATTTTAAATTAAGAATTAAGTTAAAGAGACATTGGTCAGAAAGTTAAGAAAAAAAAGGACGATTTGGAACGACAACAAAAAAATTAAGCCAATACTTGAAAGTAAAAAACAGTTTGAAAGAAGGTAAAAAGATCTGTCAACGGCTACGATGTTTCTTACAGTTCCGCCTCGTCACAAAAAACAAGATGGCGCTGAGATAACGCCTTTATACAGACGGTGACCTGAACGAAATATTTCTCACCCTTACAAAGAAGACGATTGTCTGGTTCACTGAGTGCGCTGTGGAAATGGACCTTAAACGAAGAGCTGGGTGAGAGAAAGGAAGGGGTTATCCTACCAGCGACATGAGCTTAGAATTGAGGAGATTAGTGGTGACGATTTTATACCGGAAGAACTGGATTTCATTCATAACATCTTCTACTGAGAAGGGCCTCTGTTTAAGGAGAGTAATATGTCTGATATAGAGAATACTGGCGATAACAGCTGTATAGTGAAGGCAAAAACTTAATGATCAGAGGTCCAGTACTGAGGTAGTTTAAGTGAAAAGAAGAATATTACGACAAAGACATAACCAAATTCATCTTAATAAATGAATTGTGATTCTTACTTGGTTTATTTTATTTAAAAAAGGCTCCCCTTTATATAGGTAAATTCACTGATTTGCTAAAAAATTAGCATACCATGATGAAAAAATGTCCTAAACTTAATAAAAACAAAGCTTTATCGTCGAAATCCTTATGTTATTACTAAGAGGAGAGACCAGAGTCTTTTTATTATTATTATAATTAAATAATATTTATTCGTCGATTTTAAACGTTCGAATCTTTTGGTTAAAACTCTTGTTTTTTCGTTTCTTTTTTTTTTTTTTGCGTATGCCTGGAGGGCCAAGATTAATATACTTAATATACTTTGTGTTTTTTTTTTTGTTTTGTTTTGTTTTTCCAGTGAAAAACACATTGATTTCGATATTTTTGCAAAAATCGAAAAAAATTGTTGGATTTTAATGAAACTTTCAGGGAATTAAATTATTTTAGAAATGGTTCTTGGTTAAGAAAATCTTGAATATTTTTTGCATCTGTTACCCCCACTTATTTAATTTTAAGAAATTTCGAGAAAATTTTGTGCAACTTAAAGTGTATGAGTTAAAACCAGACTCCGAAAGAGAGAATTTAGATCATCAATTTTATTTTGGAATAGAGGAAAACCAGTTACATAAAAAGAAAAACAGTCAGATGAATAATCCACAGTTCTTTAGCATTTATTTTTGTTTTTAAAAAGTGCTCAATAAAAAAGTAGACAATAATATTATAATATTATTAGTTAAAAATATTATGCTATATATATATATATATATATATATATATATATATATATATATATATATATATATATATATATATCTGTAGTGTATATGCAGCAATCCCCCTTTTATATATGTTTCGTTAATGACGACTAACAAGGTATGCGATTACGCTTTTCATTTAATTTTTCTAGAGTGTTCTTTTCTGGACACTAAGTGTTTTAAAACTGCGTAAATGTTCTGCATATTCGAGCGCTTTCGGCTATTCTTTTAGACATTATCAAGGGGGATTTTTATATATGTTTTTATTTTTTTTATTTTTTAACTAAATACGTGTACTTTTTTGTATGTGTCTGAAGTTAGAGGAATGGTTTATTTTCTGAATACGGTTAGCACATTGTCGCCATGTTCTTAGTGTTTAAATTAGTCGTAATGAAGTAATATCCGGGCAGGTGTAACGTAAATCGTCTAAGTAGTCATTTAGTAGCATGATCATTGTAATTATTAATGAGTTTGGTTTAATCGGGAATACAGTTTTTATTTTTGGACAGTTTTTACATAATTTGTGTCCAGAAAAAAGATCACTTGTACGAACACAAGAAAAATAAACAAAAAACTTAACCGCAGTACCTTTAAAAACATATATATATATATATATATATATATATATATATATATATATATATATATATATATATATAAGATTTATTATGGGCACTAATGTGTTAAGAAAAAATCAATGAATAATGAATTTTAAATTAATTATTTTCATTTTTTAAAATTGTAATTAGAATAATTTATTAAATTTTAAATATCTGCATTGCTTTGTACTGGTTAGGTTATATTGTCATTAAGTAAAAACTATTGTTATTAATCATAAATGTAAATGCTTACTACAATTCATCGAATACCAGTATTTTAAAAATAATTTTCATTTTTTTTCTGTCCACAAACGTGCCGAGTTTTGTAAATACGAACATTTAAGCACGGTATTATCAGATAATAAGAGTAAATAGTAAATATAAGGCCAAGGTAACTAAAACTCATTAAAATTTTAGACTGCGGAGAATGTTTTCGGAAATTTGAAAGATTACAAGATAGTTAAAATTTATATAAAAAACGCTCACTTTATATTCCTCAAGTAAATTTTACAGATAGAGCCACCGTAGAAAAAACATGTGATAATCTTTCGTGTGTCATTCAAAGTATCAACACCTTAAATAAACAGTTATCAACGTGTTAATAATGCATTTCTGTGATATTTTAAACTTAAAGTAATATTTATTTCACATTAGATTAATTAAACGTTAAGTCAGCTAATATTCCTCAAATATTTCCTTTCAGAAAAGTATATTTTATTATTGAAGGATTATTTAATGAAAGATAATTACATTGCGATGATGGAAGGCTAACAATGGCGCTAAAAAGAGCGATGTTATTGATTTCAACAGGAAAACTCCTTTCAGATAATTTAAATTAATTTTGAAATACAGCAAATAATCTGCTTATTGTAAATATTGAATTTAATTTATTACCTTGAAATTAAAATTGTATAAAAACTTCAAGAAATATAATTCATTTTTAAAAATTAATTTTAAACATAGGTATCGTGAAACTTTGGAGGTACCTACTCTGATATCTACCGTTTTCCTTTGGACAAGAAAGATCATGTTTCTTTTTAAATTTCTTTCTTTTTGTTTCTTTTTAACTTTCTTTCTTTGTGTTCCTTTTTAACTTTCTTTCTTTGTGTTTCTTTTTAACTTTCTTTTCGTTTCTTTTTCTTTATATTTTTGTTTCTTTTTAACTTTCTTTCTTTGTGTTTCTTTTTAACTTTCTTTTCGTTTCTTTTTCTTTATATTTTTGTTTCTTTTTAACTTTCTTTCTTTGTGTTTCTTTTTAACTTTCTTTTCGTTTCTTTTTCTTTATACTTTTGTTTCTTTTTAACTTTCTTTCATTGGGTTTCTTTTTAAATTTCTTTGTTTCTTTTTAACTTTCATTGTTTGTTTCTATATTTTCTTTTTCTTTTTTTTATTTTTCTTTCTAACTTTCTTTATTTTTCGTCTTTGTTTCTTTTTCACTTTCATTCTTTATTTCTTTTCTTTTTAACTGCCTTTTTCTTTTTCCTTTTTGTCTTTATAACTTTCATTCTTTGCCTTTGTTTCTTTTCAACTGTCTTTCTTTTCTTTCGTTTTTCTTTGCTTTATAACTTTATTTATTATTTTCCTTTACTTTTGTTTCTTTTTAACTTTCATTCATTTTTTTCTTTTTAAGTTTCTTTCTTTTTGACTTTTTCTTTTTAACTTTCTTTGTATCTTTTATTCATCCTCCGCTATATGCATTTTTTTTCACACTTGTCGCACATACTTTTTTCTTTATCGGGTTCTGATTCTCGGAAGACGATCAAACTGAAAACTCCAGAGCTTCATAGTAGATAGAATGACGCAATGGTTATCGTTACCGCTGAAGTTGTCTTTCTCCGACATATTTACGTTGGTTTCAGTGGTTGTAAGTCTCGGCTTGAATCGATTTCATTAGATTTCGAGAATCCAATCGTAACATGATTTTTAATCGAGGCTGGTACAATGCTTGCGTCGATCTCTGTTTTCGACATTGTGTCACGACGCTTCCTTCCGAAAGTAATAATTAACTACCTTTTGGAATTTGTATCTACTTTTAACATTAGTATATTTTGTTTGTTGACAGCTTAAATACCTGCAACGTATAATGATGAAAAATAGTTTGGGAATATGACACCCCCAGGACGTACAAAGGGCAGGAGTGAGCAGAGGAAAATATTGAATAACATACATTAGGAGCTTGTGTAATTGGTTTGCAGAACAGGTGCTCTGAACGATAGTATGAGACAAATATTGCTTCGAGTGACAAAGGATAGGAATCCGTGGAGACCCATAATCGTTTGAAGGGCACGGTAGATAAAAGCAGAAGAAACAAGTATATTGCTGGATAATTTTAAGAAATAAATTTTTACGAAGATGTTCACCCGATAAAAGGCTCGAGGGCCACTCGAGGTAGTGAGTTAAAGAAAAGAGGAAAAGTTTATGCAGATATGTGTGGAAGATAGCGGTTATACCTAGACTAGAACAGGTTAAGACTGTAGAGATAGAGGAAGCATCCTCTTGGGAGTCGGTTCCAGAAGGCAGTGGTTTGTGGGAAGAAGCTTCTCGAACGGAATTTACATCTCACTAAAGAAAAAGGAAAGGGAAGAGGGATGGTTCGCTACATTGTGCGTGGACTGGCGGGACTTAGCAATAATTAAAAAAATATTTATTACATGTAATATAGTGTTTAAAATTAAAGAGGAATACAACAATATTAGTCCTGACCTGACATCTCGACTTAATTACTTTATAAACGTGGTGACGTGGCTACTATCTGTCTTTTCTACAAATATTTACATGGCAACCGTTCTGTTGAGATGTTCTCTTGAGTGTCTCGCTTGCATGCATTTAAGCGTGCTAATAGATTGGCAACTAGGTTCCACTGTCTTAAAAGATGCACTAGTTAGATGACATATACTTATAGTTTCTTTTCTCACAATTCTCAGCGTTTTAAATTTAAAATCCCCGCCACATACAATCTTCAAATATGTTAATGCAATGTCAGTCACCATCTTCTGTCTTCATGAATCATGTTCCTTTATTGTCGCTTCATCACTCCACTTCACAAAAATCTTCTCATTATCTTTCACCACTGTACCCCTCTGGGTTTTAGTGGTATTTTTACCTTGCTTGTAGTGAAATCGATAAAATGATGTATAACCTTGTGTTATCATTTTTTTGTTATTGTAGTAAATACTTAAATCTGTATATTCATATATAAATCATAATTTTGCCTTTCTAACTTGAAGTAAGCAAGTTGTGTGGATGTTTTTTCCCTTATATTTAGGCTTAATTGGGCACATCGAGGTGGTGTAATTGTTAGCAAGCTTGCCTCACTAGAACAATTACGAGTGAGTTCGATCCTCACTAGATGCCCTATCAATTCGGCCTTGTGCCACATCTAAGCTGCCCTTGGAAAATCACTATGTTTATTTTAAATACAAACGTGGTTCAATGATTATAAGAAAGAAGTAATAACTGCAAAAGGTTCTTATAAATTGTTTTAATTTTCTTGAAAGTGGAGGTTTAATCATTGCTTTTTTTTCTGAGACAAAATTGGGCTCATCTGAAAGTTAAATGTTGACATGAGAAGTGAAAAAAGGCCGCTTTTATGTACTGTACGATTCCAATTTCACGAAGTAAACGTTAGGGGAGGTAACTAAGTTATGATATATCCAAATATATTTTTACAATGATGAACGCAAACAATTTTGTCGTAGAAAAACATCACCCAGATGAAAACATTGTGTAAATGTCAAAAGTTCTCACAAAAAATGAATATGTATCAAGATGGTAATTTTCTTTCTTCCTTCAATAAGGATACTAAGAAACTTGTCCGTGAATATGAGGGGGTCCTATTGGAAAAACTTGCCTAATTTATTCAATGACACATGTCTATCTCTCTCTCTCTCTCTCTCTCTCTCTCTCTCTCTCTATCTATATATATATATATATATATATATATATACAAAAAAAGCGAAAGAACAAACAGATTTAGAATCCACAGTTCTCTGACATTGACTTTCAAAAAAAGTGAACAATACAAAAATTATATATATATATATATATATATATATATATATATATATATATATATATATATATATATATATATAGATAGATAGATAGATAGATAGATAGATTAATATATATATATATCTCCGAACGCATCGTTTTGCCTACGTATATATATATATATATATATATATATATATATATATATTATATATAATTATTCACACAAAAACAAATGCAAAGGTTAATGATTTAATTGGCGAAATCCATCGTCGCAAACAATTCAAATAATATACAAAAACCTCCGAATCCGTTATGAATGAAATGATCCTTGTTTCTATAAATTTCTGCCGTATTAGTTCTTATTTTACTACAAGCTTTCGTCTGTTCTACAGACATCTTCAGGTATGGAATAGATGTTGTTCTTGTTTTTTCTCTTAGTAATAAGAGGACAACGAAAATATATGTATTGTTGTATCCGAAAATGCTATTGGAAATGAGTTATTGTTTTTGGAGCGTGCAATAGCAACGCTGAGCCTGATTTTAATTTTTTTACAGTTGTGCGTTCATGTACAAATATGGTGATAAACGATTTTTTTACTGGTAAATTTTCTGACAAAGTGGCATGAACTATATTGTTCAATAATTACAGTAATGTCGCACTTATTATCCAAAAGTCGCACTTGGATCAGTTATTTTAATTTCGATAAACGTGCAATCAATTTATAAATTCATGAATTATTCACACAAAAATTCATAACGGATTCGGAGGTTGTGTATATTATTTGAATTGTTTGCGACGATGGATTTCTCGCCAATTAAATCATTAACCTTTGCATTTGTTTTTGTGTGAATAATTCATGAATTTGTAAATTGATTGCACGTTTATCGAAATTAAAATAACTGATCCAAGTGCGACTTTTGGATAATAAGTGCGACATTACTGTAATTATTGAACAATATAGTTCATGCCACTTTGTCAGAAAATTTACCAGTAAAAAAATCGTTTATCACCATATTTGTACATGAACGCACAACTGTAAAAAAATTAAAATCAGGCTCAGCGTTGCTATTGCACGCTCCAAAAACAATAACTCATTTCCAATAGCATTTTCGGATACAACAATACATATATTTTCTTTGTCCTCTTATTACTAAGAGAAAAAAACAAGAACAACATCTATTCCATACCTGAAGATATCTGTAGGAACAGACGAATGCTTGTAGTAAAAATAAGAACTAATGTGACAGGAATTTATAGAAACAAGGATCTTTTCATTCATAACGGATTCGAAGGTTTTTGTATATTATTTGAATTGTTTGTGACGATGGATTTCTCGCCAATTAAATCATTAACCTTTGCATTTGTTTTTGTGTGAATAATTCATGAATTTGTAAATTGATTGCACGTTTATCGGAATATATATATATATATATATATATATATGAGACACGTCTCATTGAATAACATTTGTCGTATGCGTGCGTGTATATATATATATATATATATATATATATATTTGTGTGTGTGTGTGTGTGTGTGTGTGTGTGTGTTTGTGTCGGAGCACATCCTGTTGCAGACACCTGTTCAGGGTAATTTGTGTTTGTTTAACAGCCACAGACCTGCACCTGTTTTTGATATTGCAAATATGCTGAAACATATTTTGGGAGATTGAAAGAATAGTTCTTTTGTTTTTTGAGTGAATATTGAATTAATGTTTTTTTTTTTTTAGTGTTAACAATGTTTTTTGTAGATACAATTCCTTTTATTTAACCCATAGCCGAGGTGAGAAGAACAGGATTCATAACTTCTCAATGGTCTTAGCGTGTTCGTATGTGTAACGAACCTGATTGAAATTGAACTCGGCCCTCGGACTTCCGATTCAGAGCCGCTATCAATTACACCATCCGCGCACACACACTTCACCATGCTTGAATGAAGAAATAGTGCTGTGTACTTGGCCTTGCTCCGAACACGTTTTATTTGACTTATATTTCTTCAGAGACTAAACGGCATTCTTTACTCTAATTTCTTTACAGGGCAGAGGTCGTTCTTCCTTTTTTCTAAAAAAACAAATGATTATTATATTATATTTCCCACGTACCCACGCGCCTGCCCGTGATGACATCTGCCGTTAGAAAATATGTACTTTAGATAAACACATACACACACACGCACATATATACAAAAAGTGATACATAGATAAATAGATAGATAGTAAATAATTGCGATAGATAGAAAATTATATATACATACATATATATATACATATATATATATATGTATATATATGCATGTATATGTATGTGCTTACATATATGTAATGTCAAAGATGATTTCGCTATTGCTCTATCTCATGTCTATTTTCCCACATATGATCACGTAGAGATTATATATATATATAAATATATCTATATCTATATATATATATGTGTGTGTGTGTGTGCATGTATACATATATAATTTTCTATCTATCTCAGTTATTTCTATCTATCTATCTATCTATCTATCTATCTATCTATCTATCTATCTCTTTGGGTATATCTGTACGTGTGTGTGTTTTTCTAAAGTACATATATATATATACATATTATAAATTAATTGATTTAAAATATGTTTTTTTTCCTAACACAGTTCTAACCATGTTTCAAAAATGGAAGCTAAAAGCCACGAATTTAATTTTGTGATTAAATTAAAGACATCACAAAATTAAATTCGTGGCTTTTTTAGCTTCCATTTTGAAACATGGTTAGAACTGTGTATGGAAAAAAAACATATTTTTAAATCAATTAATTTATAATATTAATGCTCTGTAAATTTACATTGAGCACTATTTTGTAAAAACAAAAATATCTATAAGAACACCGGATTATATATCTTGCTGTTCTTTTTTTTATTTATATACATATATACATATATATATATATATATATATATATATATATATATATATATGTATGTATGTATGTATGTATATATATATATATATATAGACATATAGATATATACATATATATATATATAATTATTTATTCGAACATTATAACATAAATATGTTATAAAATCACTACAAAATGCCATTTTGTCTCAACACCATCTACTTGATGTTGACTTTTAGAAGTGTTGAATCAAATAATAACACCAGAAATTTTATAACATATTTATGTCATAATTTTCGAATAAATAATATATATACTCTAATCTGTATTGAGCACTCTTTTAAGAATAGTATTTTTTGGTTATTGGAATTTATTCCGTATACAGCAATCCTATACTTGGGTATATATATATATATATATATATATATATATATATATATATATATAATCGACTCTCCGTCGCGTTCGACGTATGAGGGGTCAGGCCGATAAGTCCCCAGGAAACCGACATCCCGACACCGGCACATGAGATTTGATTATAGTGGTGAAGGCCTCGTGCAGGACCAGCCACACTTTTTTGAGGGACGAATACAGAAACCTGGTGCACCGAATGCATGCCACAAGGTTCCCAAACGACCCTCCGTAGGTTTTGAATTCAGAGTTGTCCTTCTCCTAGACCAGTTGCCATCCAAGGCTATAGAACCCAGTCTGTCCTGCTATTTTACCCATAGCTGGAGGGAGATGAAGAGGATACATACCTTTCCCAAGGGTATTAGCACGTAAGTGAATGTAATGGATTCGACTGGAATTCGAACTCGGCTCTGCGATTCCTCAATCCAAGCCGCTATCCACTGCTCCTATATATATATAATTGTGTATTTGGGTAGCAAATCGTTTTTAAACAAGTGTCATTAAAGACGACTGATAATGTACTGCGATTAAGCTTCTTATTCACTTTTTCTTGTTTTCGTATAAATGATTTCTTTTCTGAACATAAAATGGCTAAAAACTCATCAAATCTTCTGTATATACGACCGTTTTCGCCTATTGTTTTAGCCATTTTCAAGAATGTCTTTTTGTATGGTAAGTTTTAACTAAATGTATAGATTTTTCTATAATCATCTGGCTTGATGGGAATGTATTGTTTATTATTATTATTTTCATTTTTATTTTCTTTGATTTCTGGCGTTTACACATTTCTTTCCGGGTCCCGCCCAGGGACCTAAGGTTAGAAATGGCGTCATGACACTTTCCACTGACAGAAAAGAAAAAAAAAAGAATTTAATTACATAGATAAAGCCCTTCGTAAGGTGTGGGCTCTATTTCCTTTGATTTCTGGAGTACACTCTTTTCATTACGGCTCTCCATCAGAGACCTAATATCAGAAATGACATGGCATTTGCCAGTAAACATTTAAAAAAACAAAGAAAACAAGTAATATCAGACGCATTTTATATAAATAAACCCTTCGTAATCTATGAGTTGTATTTTTGGGTACTTTTTTTTTTTTTTTTTCGTATTCTTTCAAGGCCTGGGCCAGAAGGGATCCCTTCAATGAGTTTATCAGAAACTATTCCAATCTTTCCAACTACAACTAGAATTGTTGATGTCATCACGCCCAACATTTTGAGATTTCGATTATTATTATTATTATTATTATTATTTTCCAAACATGGTCAGCATATTATGGCCGTATTCAAAATTGATGTTACTGAGTGTTAGCTTTTTCTTCTTATTAATGTTTCATTATTTGTAGGCTTTTTTACATGTGGATGGACTTATAATTTTCTACAAGTTGAAGATTGATTAGGATTCCGTGCGTGTTTAAATGATCAGAGTGCTTTTACGTGTGTCTACTTTGTAGGAATGTAGTGGTATATAAAAACACTCAATAACATAAATTCCTATCACTATAGGTACTTCTAGAAAAAAAAACTAAAAAAAAAAAATTAAAAATTGAGACACAAACATCCTTGAAAATGAGTAAAAGATTAGCCGAAAGCGCTTGGATATACGAAACAGAGAAGGAAACTCTTCAGCGAAGATAAATATTCCTTTTGATTCATATTATATATATATATATATATATATATATATAGATAATATTAGTGGAAAATATACATACATATGAAAAATATATATATATATATATATATATATATATATATACATACATATGAAAATATATATATATATATACAAATGTAAAGAACGAAAATAATAAAATTTAAACTTACATAAGATTAAAGTTAAAAAGGGCTCAATACAAGAGTAGAGAAATAAATATTTATTATAAACTGTTACATTAGAACATGCAAGTTACTACTACAAAATTGCATATTTTGTTTCGACGTAGCTAACACTGATGTTCAGTTTATAATAAATAAATATATATAATTAACAATATAATGAACAAGAATTATATATATATATTTAAAAAGGCATGTTTACAAGGAAGATTGTCGCAAAAATATACAGAATATATATATTTGTCTACGTGTGTGTGTAACAGATCTTGTAAAATAATTTATTTAGGTATAGGAAAAAGCGATGCCGAAGTTTAAAATGCATTTTAAAAACTGAAATATCTTTTTTGAAACTTTAATTATGGCTTTAATTACAAACTAATTTATACAATTTAATATTCCCAGAAGCAACATTTCACGAGTTCTGAAAAGAAAAAATAATTTTAATATAAACATATATTTTCACCATTTCTTTTAATAATGGCACAAATATTTTGACGATAAAATTTAATTTTTATACTGTTTTAAACTTCTTATTTCTAGCAAATTTTGGTGGTTACCTATTTTTGTATTATAGATCAGAAGTATAAAATATGAATACCGTAATTACCCATGTATAATACGCCTTTATCCATAATACGCACACCTAATATATGCTGAAAGTAGGAAAATGCTTCTACTCACGCATAATACGCACCTCTTGTTTTGTAATCAAACCCTGTAAATTGTATCTCTCCAATTTCATTACGGCCAGCGTTTCCTTCTCTTATTGAAGATGTAATTGAAGGTATTTATCAAAGTTTCCGATGATCACTATTCTAAAAGGAAACGGAAATACCTATATTGTGCCTACTGCGCAGACTCATTAACCTGTTTTTATGCGATAAAATCTATTGTATCTGTATGTAGCTTTTCACAAAAAATAGTTTTAAACATAGAATAATTTTATTCTAATTTTTTTTTTCTTTTGAGAATTCTTATTTTATTTTACATTTGTAATTATTGTTAAGTACATATGATTGTATTTGACATCCTTATAGGGTCACAATAGCCGAATGTTACTGTCAAAGAAACGGCAATTTTTGAAGAATTTTTGTTGCTGTGAATAATAGGCACCCCTAATTTTGCTTATTATTTTAAAAAAAAATGTGTATTATACATGGGGAATTAGGGTATATATTTTTATGCGATGTCTGTCTGTGCGCACACGTATCTTGTGCTATACCTCACGAAGAGAAAATATACTAAGTAAATTATCTTTGTGTTTAGTTTGTATGTATGTTTGGCCTATATGTGTATACAGTGTAACCCGGATATAAGAGAGTTGTCGGGACCGGAGAAGAAGTCTCTTATATCGGGTTTTATATCCGGGTTTGGTCTATTTTGTTTATATATGGGGTTTGGTCGGGTCTTTTATATCCGGGTTTTAACCCGGATACAAGAAGTTGTCGGGACTGGGTCTCTTATATCCGGGTTTCTCTTATATCCGGGTTTGGTCTAATTTATATACATTGACACAGGCTCTAATTTGGGACCGGAGAAAATCTCTTATATCCGGGTTTCTCTTATATCCGGGTTACACTGTATATACATTTTATTTGATTTGTGAAGTAAACTAAGGAGTTTAAGTTTGAACCCTTGAGTAAAGGGTCTCTCATTATATCTCTTGATCTCTTTATCTATTTTCCATGTAAACCTTAGCAATCCATCAAATTATAAAAATCGAGACATGTCTGATGACTTGAATCGACAGTCTAGACGAAGACCAGTCAGTTGGGGATCCATTGACACTTTGCCCGTTAAGTCTTTTATCCCTTTTCATTTTATTGTTTTTGATCTTAACTTCAAAATTCGCTCGATTTGTGTTACTTTTCTACACTCATTTAATCTATTTCGAGATTCATAATGAACAAACAATTTGGGGATTTCACTCCAAATCAAAGAATCCGTGAATATAGAATAATAATACAGTGAAACCCGGATATAAGAGAAACCCGGATATAAGAGAGATTCTCTCTGGTCCCAAATTAGAGCCTGTGTTAATGTATATAAAATAGACCAAACCCGGATATAAGAGAAACCCGGATATAAGAGACTTCTTCTCCGGTCCCGACAACTCTCTTATATCCGGGTTACACTGTACATAAAAAGAACGCATCTGAGTTATATCGGATATTGATGAGAGATAAGGAAATATTTCAAATTTATACTAATCATTATCTATCTATTAATCTATCTATCTGTGTTTATGTCTATCTCTCAGTCTGTTCATTATCAATCTACGTCTGTTCATATCTATCTCTCAGTCTGTTCATTATCTATCTATCTATCTATCTAAGTATGTTCATGTCTATTTCTCAGTCTGTTCATATCTATCTATCTATTTGTCCGTCTGTCTGTCTGTCTAAGTCTGTTCATACCTATCTATCTATTTGTCTGTCTGTCTAAGTCTGTTCATATCTATCTATCTATTTGTCTGTCTGTCTGTTTGTCTGTCTGTCTAAGTCTGTTCATACCTATATATCTATTTGTCTGTCTGTCTGTCTAAGTCTGTTCATACCTATCTATCTATTTGTCTGTCTGTCTGTCTGTCTAAGTCTGTTCATATCTATCTATCTATCTATTTGTCTGTCTGTCTGTTTGTCTGTCTGTCTGTCTAAGTCTGTTCATACCTATATATCTATTTGTCTGTCTGTCTGTCTAAGTCTGTTCATATCTATCTATCTATTTGTCTGTCTGTCTGTCTGTCTAAGTCTGTTCATATCTATCTATCTATCTATCTATCTATCTATCTATTTGTCTGTCTGTCTGCCTGTTTGTCTGTCTGTCTGTCTAAGTCTGTTCATATCTATCTATCTATTTGTCTGTCTGTCTGTCTGTCTAAGTTTGTTCATACCTATCTATCTATTTGTCTGTTTGTCTAAGTCTGTTCATATCTATCTATCTATTTGTCTGTCTGTCTGTCTGTCTATCTGTTCATATCTTCTATCTATCTATCTATCTATCTATCTATCTGTCTGTCTGCCTGTTTGTCTGTCTGTCTGTCTAAGTCTGTTCATACCTATCTATCTATTTGTCTGTCTGTCTGTCTGTCTATCTGTTCATATCTATCTATCTATCTATCTATCTATCTATCTATCTATCTATCTATTTGTCTGTCTGTCTGCCTGTTTGTCTGTCTGTCTGTCTAAGTCTGTTCATACCTATCTATCTATTTGTCTGTCTGTCTATCTGTCTAAGTCTGTTCATATCTATCTATCTATTTGTCTGTCTGTCTGTCTGTCTAAGTCTGTTCATATCTATCTATCTATCTATCTATCTATTTGTCTGTCTGTCTGTTTGTCTGTCTGTCTGTCTAAGTCTGTTCATACCTATCTATCTATTTGTCTGTCTGTCTGTCTAAGTCTGTTCATATCTATCTATCTATTTGTCTGTCTGTCTGTCTGTCTAAGTCTGTTCATATCTATCTATCTATCTATCTATCTATCTATCTATCTATCTATCTATTTGTCTGTCTGTCTGTTTGTCTGTCTGTCTGTCTAAGTCTGTTCATACCTATCTCTCAGTCTGTTCAACTATCTATCTAAGTTTGTTCATATCTATTTCTCAGTCTGTTCATATCTATCTATCTATCTATCTATCTATCTATCTATCTATAGATAGATAGATAGAGAGAGAGAGACAGAGAGAGAGAGAGAGAAGGAGAGAGAGAGTTAATATACATACGTCTAAAGATTCGCTAAAAACTGAACACACAGGGTAAAAGAATAGATCAAAGATTTTTTTTGTCATCATTATTTAATCCTTTTTAGAAGCTTCAATAATTTGGTTAAATTTTTGTTTTTCTTGTGCCAGCGGGTGACCATTTAGGATGGGATATTTTAGCGTTTCATTGATTTGGAAATTCTTGCAAAAATCAAATAATTGTCGGATGTTAATGCAACTTTCTGGACGTATTCCCAAATGCATATAATCATTTTTGGAATTTTTCTTTTAAAAAAAACTTCTTGGTAATTATATTTTAATTAAATTCTGTCACCCAGCCCATAATTCTTATTGAATTTTATGAAATTTCGAAAAATTAATTTTTTGTTGTGTTTAATGTTTATAATATATATTAGCATAAGTCATTGTAAAACCAAAAACTTAATTTACATGAAATCTACTCTGAATCGTAAAATAAAAAATGCAATAATACTAAAACATTATTCAATTAGAAAACTTTTAATTGTTTTTATGAATAAGATACATTAAAAACACTATTGTTTTAAGAAAATAATTCTAGTAATAATCAATTTTTATAAGAATTTATTTAATTTGTTTTCGAGGGTTGATTATATGACTTGTTTAATATAAGTTATCTGCGTTGAACAATGTGCATACATTTGAATTCTTCATAATGGTATTTTACAAGGTTTCGTTTTAAGTTTTCAAATTTGAAGTAACTTTGTAAAAGTTTGTTTTCGTGCCTGCATTTTGAGATATTAGTCATATATTATATATTAGTCATTATTTAGTTTTAGTCTGGGAAGGTGATTACAGCTATTTTCTCCTCTAGTTTTTGGAATTATTGTTGTAAGCTGATGTTATTTATTTTCCATGATAGTTTCAATAACTTTTTTTTGTTTTATTTTAAATTCCCATATATGTTTAGAAAGTATTGTACTGCTCGCGTATTTACTATTCGTAAAGGAAATGTCACATCCGTTTTCAGGATTCTTTACTTACTCCTATGTATATTTTCTTTTTCGTTTTCTGCTGATTATACAGTGGTTTCGTAAATTATATATATATATATATATATATATACATACATATATATATTTCAGTTTTTCCTTCTCCTAGACCGTTTGCCACCAAAGCTTACAGAACCCAGTCTGTCCTGCTATTTACCCATAGCTAGGGGGAGAAAACGAGTATTAGCACTTAAGTGAATGTAATGAATCCGACTGGAATTTAAACTCGGCTCTCCAAGCCGCTATCATTTACTACACAGTGGAGTAATGGATCATTTTTATAAATAATGTTTAGTGTATTTAGGGTCTTGTGCTTACTCCTATGTAATTTGTTCTTCGTTATCTGCTGATTTTACAGTGGTTTGGTATATTATATTGTTTTGTAAGAGATTGACATTTAATATGAAAGAGATTGTCCACACAACTCCAATGATTCGGTAACAAATGAGTATACATGTTGTAAAAATGTCTCAAACTTAATAAAAACAAAATTTATCGCCAAAATCTGTACGTTATAATTAAGATGAACGAACAAAGGATTTTCTGATAATAAAATTATAATTTTTAATCCTTATTAAAACTTTCATTTTGTTTTCTTGCGTCAGCGAGTGATTACAAATTAGTATGGAATATTTTAGAGATTTTTTTCTTCGGTGAAAAACATTGATTTGGAAAATCCTTGCAAAAATCAAATAATTCCTACATTTTAACGAATCTTTCAGTATGTATTCATAAATAAATGAAATTATTTTAGAAACGTTATTTTCCTAGAAAATCTTGCTGAAAATGTTTTTATACATCTGTTACTTGTTTATATCTCTGAGATGATGTATTATGATTGCTTACATTATTCGGAATGTTATCCTCATCTTTATTGCCATATTCCCAACGCAATGCAATAATAACAGAAATTGCAATAGTAAAAATAGTTGCTGAGACAATAGGTTTATAAGTCCCAACAATACGTACACAGATATCCTCAAGGCACATGGCCCAGTGGATAAAGACGTGGCGTTGTGGCCGAAACGTTGTGAATATGGCAATAAAGATGAGGTTAACAGTCTGAATAATGTTAATAATGCAAGTGCATCTGTTACCATACTATTTATTTAAATCATAGAATTCCGAGTAATTAAATTTTTATAGAGCATAATATTTATATTAGTTAAAAGCGAAACGACATGGATAATTTAAATTCTCAATTGTCAGATTTAATGTAAATTTCAAAATTTATACACAAATGAATGTAATTATTTTTTAAACTTTTCTAGAAGACATTGGAAGAAATATTGATTTTTTTATACCTGCTTACACACCACTTATTTATGAAATTTCGAGTAATTCTATGTTGTAGAGCTTAATGTTTATATTAACTATAAGCAGAAGTACTTCGAGAATTTAAATCATCAAATTATTTTGTAAAGCAGGACCACCAGTTGTAGAAAATCTAGCGTGAATCTGAATAAGATATATTGTGTACTTCATTGGGCACCTCGAGGCGGTGTAATGGTTAGCAAGCTTGGCAATTACGACTGAGTAGTGAGTTAGATCCTCACTGGGTGCCCCCTAATTTCGGCCTTGTGCCACATCTAAGCTACGCTTGGAAAATCACTATTGTGTACTTCACTTTATTAAGAAAAACATATTACGATGAAACGTTCTGAGTAAGACGCTAGAAGATTGTCCAGGTTAAAATGATAAACTACGTCCAACAGCAAGGTTTTAAGGAGCGATGAACCACCTTGCTGGTGTTCCCAGGTCCAACCTGACCCGGGGTGGTAGCACCTGTTAATGTCCCAACTATGGGCAAATATTTAACTTGGGTCAAAGCACCATCAAATTAAAAAATAGGTTTTAATACCAGCAATAATTTTTTGAAAAAAAATTGTTACCAGCAATACATTACCGACAATATATTTTTCGAAAAAATATTACCAGCAATAAAAATGTTGTCGGCATTAAATAACCCATTGAGGTTCATATGCCATAAAGCAAAAGAAAACAAAACAAAAAACTTCTCGATGAATAATGAATTTTTACAAGAACTGATTTAATTTTAAAATATATTTATAGAATGTTAAATCTTTTAAATTCTATATTAATTTGTAGCGGTTAGCTGATATTTTTTATTCTTTAAAATTATATTTCAGTCAGTTATTACCATGCGTGATACAGGCTTAAGTGATCATGTATCTTTCGATAGATGACTGACGAAGCAGATTTTTCCCTGCAGTAGGTAGCTATTTCTTTCTGCGGTAGACGAGTTGCCATCCAAGACTACAGAATTCGGTCTTTCCTGCTATTTACCCGTAGTTGGAGGTGATTCCTACCTTTCCGAAATGTATTAGCACATAAAAGTGAATGTAATAGATTTGACTAGAATTCGAACTCCGCTCTCTGATTCCTCAATCCAAGCCGCTATACATTACTCCACTGTGCTTTTCTTTTCATTTTGCTACAAGGCTTACTACAATTTAGCGTTCATTTTTTATATATATATAAATATTTTCGTGGCAATTGTTCTGATGAGATTTCCTTTTTGGTGTCTTACTTCACTAATTTAAACGTAATTGTGGATCTGAATGTGATAATTTTTAGTTATTTTCCTCTTCAGTTACAAGTTGGTTTGAGTGTGCCGGTGGTTTGTTGTGTGTTATTCTCTTGAATATATTGTAGACAGTGCTTAGGTGTTCGTACGATTGGCAGTTTAAGTCTCATTTAACATTTGAAACTTCTAAGTGTAACCGTAAGTTCTATTCTAACAGTTTCTTCTCACCTACTTTTCGGCCATGGAGCTTGCTTTCGGCTTGATTTTCTATCAACACCCATCTTCAAAAATATAAATGCAACGCCAAT